GAGGGATGGAGGGGGAAATAAAATGAGGCATAAAGATACATGGCACACTAAGATTACTGCCATACCATAAGTGAGAACGTGAACTTTCTTTCTTTCATGTTATCACAAAGTACAAAACATAGCTAATTCACATATTAGCCAGCCAGTTTGCATAAGCAGGAATAATGGCAATAAACATATTATTTTGAACATCATCTCGCTAATATACACATTAGCCATACCAAAGTCACTGGCCAAGAGTGAGTTATGTTTGTGAGAAGTACAGCATTTTCAATAAGGACTTTACAAGTTTGAAGGCCTGAATTGTTTTATTCATGTAACTTACTGACATGATTTTGAGGTTAATGTTTAACAAAATACATCAAGTTTTACTTAACAGATTAAACTTTTATTGAAACAGATTCAATGTGGCTTACAATGTTGGTTTCTTCCAGCAGCAGCTTGTCAGGCGTAACTTGACCACATCACACCTCTAGTAGAAAACCTTCGGCAACACTTTCGAGTAGCCTTGGTACCCCCCCCCCCCCAAAGTTGTTTAGAACAGTGAAAGTAACAACCATGCCAAAATGTTTGCACCTCAAAGACAACCATCACGTGAGGATTTTCATATCCAAAAGCCTCCCTTCGGAAGCCAATCTTACGCTGTTCATTTTCATTCTTGCACCAGTTTGTACATTTGAGATGCACCTGCTTCCTTGACACATGCCAAATAGTCATACATGAGATGCCCAGCTGGCGAGATGCGCACAGAGTTGATTTTTATGACGGTTAACAAAGCTTTGCCTCACATGCTCTACATCAGACGTATAGCATCAACCAGAAGCTTTGCTGTGTCTCACCATTCATCCAGATTCATTAAAACATTCATGCCACTGATCAGGAACTACACTGACTATCTTTACCACATTCTGTAGGAAAATTAAAAGGAACAGTTGTTGAGCACTCTCAGGGCTGGAATAGGCAGGGATAGGATCAGGACCAATAAATCTTTTTCGAATCCGACTTGCGGTGCTTCGAAGCTGTACCATGTGAATCACTACTTGATCTATTTCCCTTCAAGATGGCGCCAATTGTAGGTTTATGGATCGTGCAAACGAGTCTGTACGAGCATTCAAGCTTGAAAAGTCCTTAATGTAACACCTTATATTCTGGAATAAATGACATTGGCATGCATCAGAAATAATGCAATACACTCATATACTAAGTAATATAACTGAATTTGCATGTTACACTGCTTTTTTTATGCAAAAGAGACGAAGGCTCGGGCGTCATTGTTCCAAACTAAGAAATGTGCAGCGAAACATCAAATGAGGTACATAGCTAGGTAACATTAGATTATTGGTATTGTGGTATTGTGTCAATAGAAATTTATGATTGACACAGTGAAACATTAAACTACACACCTTATCTCATTAAGTTAAAAAACTTTCCACATCTAGCCTGATTCCTCTTTATCATATTTCTGCAATTCCTGTAGCTCTGTAATATTCTTCACCTACCCTAGCCACTATGTGTCAGCTTATATGCCTTTTACCTGGCTAAGCCTAGTATTCTGGAGTGTTCCTACTTGAGACTTTATCCATCCATTTTGGAAAATGCAAACATTGACAAGTTCTTTGAAAATCAGTTACAGTGAGACATCAGCATTAACATGGCAACACTGAAAAAAAATAAAGAATTATCAGTTTTAAAACTCACCGAAACCTGAGATCGTACTCTATTTTTCTCAGTAGAATGAAATACAAGAGTAGACTCATTGTTATTTTTATATTGATCTGTCAAATGACTCAATTCAATAAAATATTCTAGATGTTCTAAGCGCAATGGGGGAGGTTGTTCAGACACAGCTTCATCCTCCTCAGTTGGAAATCTTCCTTTCCTCATATCCCACACCATACGGCTTGATCCAATGTAATCAAATGATTCTCCATTAAATAAAACAAACAATACATTCTTATTTTGAGGTTCTGAAAAAAAGAAGAAAAAAAATTACATGAAAAAAAATTGCAGCCAATACTCCAAAACTTGTAATGCCTCCTAACATTCTTTACATCTATATCTCATTCTTCATTACAAACTAAAATACCCCCTTCGTATCTTTGGGATTATTTTACACCAGTTTCTACTGAATCTTTCATGTTGACAATGAAAAATTGCCCCCCCCCCCCCTCCTCTCCGGCCAACCACTTTAACACTAGCTGTTCAAATACTCTACTTTTATTTCTTTCCCTCTTCCAGAGACAGAAAGAGAGAGCGGAGAGAAAGAGAAGAGAGAGAGGGGGAGAGCGGAGAGAGGGGGGAGAGCGGATAGAGGGGGGGAGAGCGGAGCGGAGCGAGAGGAGAGCGAAGCGGAGCGAGAGGAGAGCGAAGCGGAGCGAGAGGGGTGCGGAGCGGAGCGGAGCGAGAGGGGAGCGGAGCGGAGCGGAGCG